CCTACAGGCAGCAAGCAATGATCCAAAAATATGTGCATCTGGCTCATAAGGCATTGAGGTGATAAGCCTAAAGGCTTCATCCAAATTGCCACATCGAGAGAGTAGATTAACCATGCAGCCGTAATGAACCATACTTGGCTTTATATTATGTTTCGAGACCATTTCAACGAAAAGCTCCAAACCCTCATTGACCAGGCCAGAATGGCTGCAGGCATATAAGGCATTGGTAAATGTTATGCTATCCGGTTCAGTGCCTACTTCCTCTAAACTGCTATACAATGCAAGAGCATCCATTGCTTGACCATGTAATGCATAACCAGAGATCATTGCATTATAGATGGGCAATTCCTTTTCATTAGTAATATCAAACACTTTCTTTGCTTGATCTATATTCCCACATTTAGCATACATGTCCACTAAAGATGTTGCTAGTGGAATTGACAAGACAAGTGCATGCCTTATTGAATAACCATGTACTGCCTTTCCACACTGTAGTAATGTCATGTCTATACAAGCGGAGAGAACAGAGACAATGCTTACAACATTTGGTCTAATTCCAGCCTCCTGCATTTGCTGGAATGCAAAAATTGCTTCGCATCCAAAACCATTCTCCGCCAAACCAGAGACAAGACTAGTCCATGTAACCAGATTCGGCTGAACACCGACAGACTGCATCTGCAAAAACATGTCTTTTGCCTCATTGACCTGGCCATTCTTAAGAAATCCTAAAATCACCGAGTTCCATGATATTAAATTTGGTGGCACACTTTCTAACTGCATCTGATAGAACAACTTCAAGGCCTCACCGCTGTGACCCAATTCCGCATATGCAGCCAACATTGTGTTCCACAGCACAAGATCACCCTTTGTAATGGAGTCAAAAACTTGTCTTGCACAATCAATTCTCTTGCATTTGGCATACATATTTACAATACTACTCGCGACAACTACATCAGAATTGAGATCATTTCTAATACAATAACAATGTCCCTCCTTTCCAAGTTTTAAATCAGCCGTATCAGCAGAAGCAGACATGAAGGATGCCAGAGTCACAGAATCAAACCTCAGATTCTCCGTTCTCATCTGACGGCACACTCCGATTGCTTGTTCCACCTTTCCAAATTGCACATAACCAGAAATGATCAAGTTCCATGTCACCACATCTTTCTCAACCATACTACTGAAAACTAATTCAGCATCCTCCATCAGACCAACCTTGGAATAAAAATTTATAATGGAACTCCCCAAAATGGTATTCAACACCAACCCTTCTACAACTGCTAATCCATGACCCTGCTTACCCTCTTCTAATGCGCCTATATTAGCCGAAGCCGCAAGAAAGCCCGACATTGTAACTTGAGTGGGTTCAACGCCTTCCATTCTCATATCATAAAACACCTTAATAGCTTCCTCATTCATCCCATTTTGTACATACCCAACAATCAACGAATTCCAAGTTACTACATTTCTTTCAGGCATTCTATCGAACATTTTGCGTGCACAATCCAAAGCTCCACATTTCCCATACATATCAACCAGACTACTTGCCACAAAGACACACTCGCCAAAACCCATTTTCAAAACATACCCCTGAATCCCTTTTCCGAGCCCAACCAACTGAAGAGCCCCGCAAGCTTTCAGCGCATTCGGGACGACAAAATTGTCCGGCAAAAACCCGAATTCGAGCATTTCAAGAAATCCCAACAAAGCTTCCTCGCAGAAACCCATCCTACAGTTGAGTCCAATAATGGCGGCCCAAGAAAACACGTTCTTCTCACTCACCATCCGAAACATACGACTCGCGACAGAGTAAACATCGCATTTGGCGTAGAAAATCACGAGCTTTGTCTCGATGTACTCGTTTCTCGCGACGAACTCGCCGCTCTTGACGATCCGGGCGTGGATTTGCCGACCCGTGGAAAGGTCCCGCTCGTAGACGCAGCCCTGGAGAAGCTCGCCGTAGATTTCGGGCTCAATTCGGAGGTTTCTGAGTCCCATTTCGGTGAACAAGTCAACGGCTTCTGGGACTTGGCCCTGTTTGCAGAGAGAGGATATTTGGCGGAAGTAAGAGTTGTTGAAGAAAATGGGATGGCTTTTTGCATCTTCTTGATGCTTTGTGAAATGGGTTTGGGTGATTTTCTGGGATTCTGTGGGTTTGGAGAGTTTGGAAAGAGGTAGTAAGTGAGGTTTGGCAGTGGAGGTGAAAGGAAGAGAAGCCATGCATGGAGCAGAGCAAGGAAGAAGAGGATATGGTGAGTGGTCATTATTTGCCACATCGGTGGGAGGGGCATTTTCGTCATTTCAGTTTGATAATCATGTCCGGACAGTTACAACGATCGTTGTTCATATTTCTATGATAAGGTTTCTCTCTCTTTCTATGTATGAACTAGTTGGGTAAGCTATTTATTTCAAACAGTGTGAATATAGTTTAAACACAATTTAAGGATTAATAGTTAATTTACTTTTCTTTTTAAGGTAAATGTATTTTAAATGAAAGAGATACAAGTATTAATGCTGACTCGAATCACTTCGTAATATAAGAAAGTTTAACTCCAATCATTAATTGTTACCACAAGTAATTCTTAATAAAACGCTCAAGGAAAAAAGCAATCGTCATTTCAGTTTAATATTTATGTCCGGATAGTTACAACAATCGTTCTTGATATTTCTATGACAAGGTCTCTTTCTATATATAAACTAACTGGGCAAGCTATTTATTTCAAACACGTGTGAATATAGTTTAAACACAATTCAAGGATTAATGGTTAATTTACTTTTCTTTTTAAGGTAAATGTATTCTAAATGAAAGAGACACAAACATTAGTGCTGACTCGAATCACTTCGTAATACAAAAAAGTTTTAACTCCAATCACTGATTGTTACCGCAAGTAATTCTTAATGAAACGCTTAAGGAAAACAAGCATGCACTAAACTCCAACAATAGAAAATTGAAAAGGTACGCCAATAATTAAGTAGAGATATAGCTCTTTAAATAACTCTTCTACAAATGATGAAAAACTATAATTGATTGAGATTAAGAGACTTATAAACTAAAGATTAGTTGTAACTCACAACACCATCAAGAGTAAATTGATGCGAATTGGACATATAAATAAAATTAAAAAGTGTTGAGACCACATTCCTTATTACAAAATTGAGGAAAAAAAAAAAAAAAAAACACATATCCTAAGAGGTGGAAGACACGCCACCTTTATTAAACAAAACCATCTACAACAAAATGGTGATAAAATCCTAATATCACTAGAAAAGCACCCGGTTACAAGACAATTCAAGCAGTCAAAAAAGCTAAGTAGATCAAATATGTTCGGATCCGGAGTCATCGCAGTCGAAACACTGCCAAATCACCGCGTGGAGCCACGTGCCACTGGCGACGGCCACCCATCTCGACTCGCACTACCCATAGAGAATCGCCAAACCTTAGGAACCAAAACCCCTAAAAAGACATCCACCTTCCAAGGATCTCATGTGTCCCCATGTTAGAATAAGCATTCTTTGTTTAGTAGATTATCGATATTGCTTGTGCCATTATAGGGAAAGAATGAATAAGTTAAGAAAACTTTTGTCAAAATTGGCTGAAGAAAGTAATTTGTTAGTAACTTTATATTTGAAGGGGGCATTGAAATAAGAGGTTTTAGGGGTGATATATGAGAGAAATAGAGATGATACGATGTGCTAAGGGAAGAAGAGAAAGAAACATATCCTCTGAGAAGAACAAAGTGTTTTCAAAAAGAATTTAAAAAAATAAAAATGAAAAATGAAGAGAAAAACAATGTCACAATATGTATTTGTCTGCCTCCTCCACATAGTTCCCCAGCTATTTGTAAAATTGAAGTTAAGAGTCGAGTAAACATAGCAATTTTTTGGTATAATACTATGATAGATATTTTAGTACTCTAAAAATGTTGGGAATAAACATGACCAATGTCGCAAAAAGGAGGCATGCTATGATTTTTCCCTAATAAAAGAAATTGGAATTTTTTAACTTCAAAGAATCAGTCAAAATCAACTAAAAGTATTTCGCCGAAATTCCCCCCATCGGCCGAAAGAAAGTAATCTACTAAATTATCACTGGTAATCTATCACATGTCACCAGAAAAAAAAAAGGGCGTAAATTTCACCAATATAACTAGTTGTTTCAGGTTGTCGATACTATATAGTAATCTACTAGATTAACTTCCATAATCTACTAGACTCCATTAGAATCAACAATGACAACTGGTCATCGCTAGTCGTGGGTCTCTTGGCAGGAAAGTATTATACTAGATTAACATTGGTAATCTACTAGAGTATATTAGCTTTTCAAATAAATCATCGGCCATCTCTGGGACCGGCTGCTAGAGAAATTTTATATATTAACACCATAGATCTAACAAATTTAATTCCATAAAACAACAAATATCACCATTATTTTTTGATGATCGATTGTCGAAGAACAATAGGATAGACTACGGGCTAGATTAATTATCAGAGTCAACATAAATCAGATTACAAATGTAATTAAAAAAAATCAACAGAAAGATGTAAAAAGTTACATACATGTACACAAAACAAGCATACAAAAAAAAAAAGAAGAAGGAAATCAGATTCATAATTGAGAAGGCAATTGGAAATATTGCTATTAACCTACACCGTGGCAGTGACTTCCGGATCATATCAAGATTTTGAATAGAATGTTGTGCTCATCAAAAATCAGATATTGTCCTTCTGATCCGGCCATGTCTAAGAGGAAGATATACTAGTCGTGAGGAGGAGAAAGGTGGCGACACGGTGGCTTTTAAGGCCTATGCAGAGCTAGAGAGGCGACCCAACAAGGTGTGTGAGTCGAAGGATTTTAAGATGACTTGGACGCTCAACGATGATCTAAACGAGATTCGATAGCTTCGACAACAATTTCGTGAGCTCTGAAGACCGTCTCCATGGGAGAGGGAAATGAAGTAGGAAGAGAGAGGGAAGAGAGTGAAGAGGTCGTTAGGATTTCATCTCTATTCGTAATAAAATTAAAATTAAGGGTAAACCGATCATTTTAGTGGCTAATTAAAGTAGATAAACTAGCAAAGTGACATAAATCCTAGCAAAAGATGCACACATATCTTAACAAAAGTGATTAGAGAAAATTAAACGTTAAAAGAGACAAGCAAAACTAAGAATAAATGTTTTTGGTATTTTATGATTTTAAAATGAATAAAAATGTAAGAATAAAATAAAGGATGGTGAGGAAAAGTGTGTAATTTGTATAACAATTCAAATACTAATTCTATAACTCAACTACACATTTTACGTCCCAAATATGTAATCAGAAAATATGAATTTGGAGCGCAAATAAAAAGAAAACGTTTTTGATCAAATTAATCTCTTCTTAGTAAAAACAAGTAAAATTATTTCATGCGTTATCTAAAAACGACAAAATACCTTCAAACAGAATGCAGTAAGAGATACTCACATAAAAATAATAATTACATACACTGAATATATTAAACCGCTGTCATTATAGAAATAATTATTATAAACATTGACAGAAGAGAAGAAAATTGATCAAAATTACAAACGTGATAAAACAGTTGTGAATTAGAAATAAGAATTGAAACACGCTTGCACACAGAATTTCACTCAAACTTAGCCTTTTGTCGGTTGTGTGTCACTCACGGGAAGATGTGTCACTCATCTCTCACCAAAAGAAAAGCTAAGGAAATAAGAACTGAAAAAAAATAAAACTTTTAATTATGAAATTTCTCTCAATTTTTGAATGAAAAATACAAAAGGCATAGCCCTCTATTTATAGAATTTTGGGTTGCAAAGGAGATCAGTAAATATCTAACAAAATCTAGAAATTAAACTTGAAAATAAAATCACAACTAAATCTATGGAGATCAGATAGTTAATACTAGCTAGATCTTGGGAGACAGTTGAATTTAAATCAGCATAGAATCTTAGGGAGATCAGCACAGAGAGAGAGAGAGAGAGAGAGCTTAAGGAAGAATTTGCGTTTTTGACCACGTGGTAAACTCTAATTGGGAAACATACTGAAGTGCTGACTAAAAAGGGCTTAGAGATGGGGCCACCTCTGCTAACGTGGCACCTTCTGATTTGCACTCGTAGGTTGATTTCCATGACTCAGTTGCATGATTTTTTGTATTGTTTTTTAATATATGCAAATAAATAAGTAAAAACTACATAATTTCTAATTAAAATATTCTCGATATAAATCATTTGAAATATGTAATCAGAGTTTAAATATTTAATTATATATTCCGAAATTAGCAGTATTCTATTTTTGTGCACTTATCACGACTCAAACAATTAGGCTTGAAAAATGGCAGCCCAAGGCAGCCCATACCTGCCAATCCCCGTAGGTTCTTCGTCCGGTTCGAATCGAAGTTTGTCGGTTGAATGTCCATCACTGGCCCAGAGACCAGATGTTCCCAATCAAGCGTAGATTTAAATCCATCTAAACAAATAACAAATCAAATTGTCTCCATATTTTTGTAATTTCTATATTCGAATTTTTTTTTTTTAAAAACCCCAATATTCCATATAAAGTTGGTACAAAGGAGTTACTATAAAATGAAGGCCATCTTATAAATTTGTCTGAGAGATGACAGCTCAATAAAAAAAAAAAAAGTCAGATGAGATAGCAAGTAAAGATTCTTTAATTAGTATCCTATCAAAGAGTTAAACCAAATTTTTTCTTCAACGGGATAAAGAAGAGTTTCAAAAAGAGGAAAAAGATTATCTTATCTTTTAAATCGATAAAAAAAAAAAACTAACAAACCAAACTTCATGATTCGTGATAATGTATTTAGATAATTAATCTAGGTTACCGTCAAATCGCACAACACAATAACATATATACTCTTTAACGCTTTCATCTCTCTCTCTCTCTCAATATTACGCAGCTTTGTCTTCTGGGATTGTTGGAATTGTGTTACTTCCACTATGCTCCATGAACTTTCTCAATAAACTAGTATGGGCACGTGCCTTAGGCACGTGTTTATGGTTTTTACATTTTTTTCCCTAGAAACTCTAACAAAATTTAGACACAAAATTATTTATCACAAACTTTTTTTTAATCAACATTAGAAAGGGAAAAAGCATATACATGATGTTTTAGTTTTCAACCATGCAAACTTTGTAATTACAATACCTATGAAATTATAGAATTAGGATTAGAATAACTAACTATACTAATTAACATAGTCATTAAAGGGCCAATTAGGAAAAAATGTTAATAGGAAAACATGTGAAATTATAAAACCAAAAAATCAAAAAACCAACAAACTAAGCTCTAGCAAGCAAGCGAGTACAAACTTTTTTTAAAGATCATTATCTCTTCTTATACAGACTAGCATGAGAGACGTGCTAATAGAAAAAGAAGATGAGAGAGAAGAGAGAGACGAAGTTGTGAAGAATGAGCAAAATATTCTCATTACTTGAAAACGGATACAATGCTCTGCTTCATAAATGGCTCTAGAATTTGTTGTAACTAACTTATTTTGGAGCCTTCTACATTTGTCGTTATGTGTAACAGAAAGAGAACTTAGATACTGTGAAGGATGAAATATAACAAATATACCTAAATTCTAATACTCCCCCTCAAGATGGAGAATACAGATTGTGAATTCCCATCTTGTTTAGGAGCTGATGAAACTGAGTAGGGTGCAAAGCTTTGGTGAAAGGGTCTGCCAGTTGATTGTGTGTTGCTACGTGCATCGTTTTGATTATCCCTGCTTGTATATTCTCACGCACAACATGACAGTCAATTTCTATATGTTTCGTCCTCTCGTGATAAACCGGATTGGCTGTAATATGTAGTGCCGCTTGATTATCACAGTAGAGTAAGGCAGGACATGTGTGCTTGATTCGAAGCTCACGAAGAAGGTTAAGTAACCAAACTATCTTGCAAGTACAATTGGCCATAGCTCTGTATTCCGCTTCAGCTGAGGAACGAGAGACCACTTGTTGTTTCTTTGATCGCCAAGATATAAGAGAAGATCCAAGGAACACACAAAAACTTGTGAGTGACCGTCGTGTGTCTGGACAAGTACCCCAATCGGCATCAGCAAAAGCTTTGAGCTAAAGTTTGGACTCTGAAGAGAAGAAAATTCCCTGTCCCGGAGCCTTCTTTATGTATTGGAGAAGTCGTTGTGCTGCTTGAAGGTGAGGCACACGAGGAGCAGCGAGGTATTGACTGAGGCGATTAACTGAATAACTCAAATCAGGCCTGGTAATTGTTAGATAAATCAGCTTACCAATTAAGCGTCTGTAAGTGGTAGGAGCAGAGAGAAGTTCACCATCTTCAGAAGATAACTTGAGGTTCGGCTCCATGGGTACAGAAACCGGTTTGCATCCTAAATACCCTGCTTCTGAAAGCAACTCTAAAGCATATTTTCGTTGACAAACGGATATACCAGCCGCTGTACGTGCCACTTCAAGGCCCAAAAAATATTTTAAACTTTCCAAGTCCTTTATTTTGAACTGTTTACCAATGACTGACTTGATTGTCTCCACAGCCACTTGATTATTTCCGGCAATAATGATATCGTCGACATACACTAAAAGTGCAAGGAAGAAGTTGTCAGTTACCTTGATAAACAAGGTATGATCACATGCCGATTGAGTAAATCCTTCGGAGAGCAAAGTTGTTGAAAACTTGTGAAACCATTGTCTCGAGGCTTGTCGCAGCCCATATATAGATTTGTGGAGCCGACAAACGGCATTAGGAGGTAAAGACTCCCCCTTGCGACAAGCATATCCCAGTGGTAAGTCCATATAAATCTCTTCACTGAGATCACCATGGAGAAATGCATTTGTGACATCCAATTGAGTAAGCGACCAACCTGAAATAGCAGCCAAAGAGAGTAAAACTTTGACAGTAACAAGTTTTGTAACCGGGGAAAAGGTGTCCAGAAAATTAATCCCTTCTTGTTGAGTAAATCCTTTGGCGACCAGGCGTGCTTTGTGACGTTCAATAGTACCATCAACAAGAAATTTTGTTTTGTATATCCATTTGTAGCCCACTGAGTGTTTGCCAGGAGGTAGAGAGACAATAGACCAAGTGCCATTGCCTTCTAAGGCTTGCAATTCCACATCCATGGCATCACGCCAAACTGAGTGTCCAATGGCCTGAGAGAATGATTTAGGGTCGACATGAGAGGAAATGGAGAGGACGAAGTGACGATAGGGAGAAGACAGTTTTTGATAACTCAGGGTGGAGGAAATGGGATACGGAGTAACTGTGGAGGAAGGAGAAGAAACACAAGAAGCAAGAGAAAAATCGGCCAAAAGATAACAATGGTAATCCGAAAGATAGGTAGGAGGCTTAATGACACGATGGGGGCAAGAGGAAGATGCAGGGGAAGAAGGAGAACCCGAGGAAGGGGTGGAGGGTGGAGAGGGCAGTATGGAAGGGATAAATTGAGAAGGAATGAAGGCAGGAAGTACACGGTCATGAAAAAAATCATGAAGAGTGGTTTGTGGATGTGAGTCAGCAAATGGAAAGATATTTTCATGAAATTGAACATGTCGTGATATGTAAACCTTGTGGCTCTCTAAATCAAGAAGTTTGTATCCTTTGTAACCAAACGGATAGCCAAGAAAGACAGAGCTTCGAGCTCGTGAAGAAAATTTTGAACGATGGGCACGAAGTGTGGAACCATAACACAGACAACCAAATGTGCGAAGATGGGTATATGAGGGCTTATTGTTGTTTAACATTTCAAATGGAGTCTTGTTGGATAGTAAAGGAGACAGTGTGCGATTGATTAGATAAACAGCTGTGAGAAGACAATCTCCCTAGTAACAGAGAGGGACACAAGACTGAAATAAGAGAGCACGAGCCACGTTAAGAATATGTTGGTGTTTCTGTTCAACAACGGAATTTTGTTCTGGTGTCTTAACACAAGAATGGTAAGGTATGATCCCTTTCGAATGAAAAAAATCAGTGAATGCTAACTCAGGTGCATTATCTGAACGAACTGATTTAATTAAGGCATGGTACTGTGTTTGAATGAGATTATAAAAGGTAGGAAATATAGTTAGAACATCTGTTTTATTCTGAAGTAAATAGACCCAAGTGGCTCTGGTGCAATCATCAATAATTGTTAAAAAGTAACGATGACCATTAGTAGTTTCAACATGAAAAGGGCCCCAAATATCTATATGGATTAAATCAAAAGGATTAGCAGATAAATTATTAAGTGCAGGAAACGGAAGACGTTTCTGTTTGGCTAAATGACAAACACGGCAATGAGCAGAGCATTTTTATGAAGAACTAGAAATTTGTAATTCTTTATTAAGGAGCTGAAGTTTTACAGCAGATGGATGCCCAAGGCGTAAATGCTAAACATCAGATTGAGACATTACAGAGCAAGGAAAAAGAGAATTACAAATTGGTTTTTCTAGTTCTAAAAAGTAAAGGTTTCCGTGGCGTTTACCCCGCCCAATCGTCAAGTCCCGAGTAAGGTCCTGAATGACACAAGTAGAAGAGGAGAAATTAACAAGGCAAGAACGACTCAAGGTTAGAGCACTGACACTAAGAAGATTGAAGTTAAACATGGGAACAAACAGGACATTGTACAGGGTCAAGGAGCTAGTGAGAGGCACAGTATTCTACACGAGTGATTTGGACATTGTGACCATTAGGGAGTACGACACTGGTGTTGTGAACTGGTGTGGAATGAGACAAAAGAGACATGGAACAGCAGACATGATGTGTAGCCCCAGTGTCGATGACCCAAGTGTGAGGAGGAACATGAGTATGGGAAAGAGAAGAAATAAAACAAAAATTACCATTGACTTGAGAGGCACAAGGATTAGCGGCCATTGGAGACTCAGATGAGGATGAACCAGTAGCGTGGAGCTGCGAGCTGAGGTGAGCAATCAGTTGTTGAATATGGTCAGTCGAAAGCGGTGCTGGTGCCATTGGAGATGAGATGAGCGAAGTTGTGGCGGCTGTAGGGTTGGTATAGGATTGAGGGGAGTTCTGTGAAGGCTGGGAGCCCTGAGGTTTCTGTGAAGAATGAGAACCCTGATACATCTGGTGGGCCGAGGGCTAAGGTTTGGGCTTGGGCCTGTAGCCAGGTGGGAATCCATGAAGCTTGTAACAGCGGTCCACAGAGTGCCCACTAAGACCACAATGAGTACATACAGGTCTCTCACGACGAGATTTGGGCTGAGAGGACGCCGACCATGCTGCCGCCACTGACGCCGGAGGAGACGGAGTCGGAAGAAGCGCGGGCTGAGAAGACACGGTGCTAAAGGCCAAGGAATTTGAGGGAGCAGGTGAAACAGAGACGATGGAGCATTGTCTCTCCTCCTGAACCACAAGGTTAAACACCTTTGCGACATAAGGTAATGGTTCCAGCATTAAGATTTGGCCGCGCATTCTGACATGATTCGTTCAAACCCATAAGGAATTGCATAACGTATTCCTGTTCTTGATAGTCCATCCAGGATTTCATGCCACCATAATTGCAAACTGGAACGGGCTGGAAGTTCTTAAGCTCATCCTAGAGTATTTTCAATCGGGTAAAATAGGTGTTAACGTCCAAAGCTCCTTGAGAAGGAGCGTGTAGCTACTGTTTAATTTGAAAAACACGAGGAGCGTTGCTCTGGCGAAAGCGTTCTTGCAGATCTGTCCAAACAGCATGAGCACTGTCCAAATAGAGAAGGCTATCGGCGATTTCCTTGGAAACAGCATTAAGAAGCCACGAAGTAACCATATTGTTGCAGCATGACCAGATTCCGGCAAGAGGATCTGTAACAGGAGGTTGCGGAATGGAACCATCAACAAAACAAAGTTTATTTTTGGCATTAAGAGCCATGAGCATGGCACGATTCCAGGTATTGTAATTTGGACCAGTTAGGGCGTGGGAGACGAGAGAGAGGCCAGGATGGTCGCCAGTATGAAGAAAAAAAGGGCTATTAGCACCATCGATAGAAGAAAGATCTGGAGCCGGAGTCAACGGCAGAAAATGATTGTTATTGGTGGCAGGAGGATTGGTGGCGGTGTTATTGTTACCACCGCGAGCCATGATAAAAAAAAGAGGAAAGAAACAGAGATATGCTGCAGTGGAGCTTATAGCTCTGATACCATAATAGAAAAAGAAGATGAGAGAGAAGAGAGAGACGAAGTTGTGAAGAATGAGCAAAATATTCTCATTACTTGAAAACAGATACAATGCTCTGCTTCATATATGGCTCTAGAATTTGTTGTAACTAACTTATTCTGGAGCCTTCTACATTTGTCGTTATGTGTAACAGAAAGAGAACTTAGATACTGTGAAGGATGAAATATAACAAATATGCCTAAATTCTAATACGTGCTTAGCGCACGTCTCATTTGTAACCTTTTTTTTTTTTTTTTAACGTTACAATTTGCATGTTTTTACTTTATATGTATATAATTATTTTTCAAAACAATTATAATAATTTTACAATTTCATATTATGTATGATGATGGTTAAAATACTATTTTTAGGCTCATTTTTTAGTGGGACTCACTATATTATAGTGACGAGTCTAGGCAGTTTCTTGTTCTTTTCCGTGGAGAGATGGAACTGGTATATTTTTACGCTCAAAATGATGCACAGGGTGAATGAGAAATTGACACCTAGAATGCACATGTGGAGTAATGTTGTAAATGTTTGTGAATTAAATTGGCATTTAAGCGTGCAATCAAAACGTTTTGTAACGGCATAGATTAGTTGAAAATTCATCTGAAAATTGATTTCGAGTTAATGTCGGGTCTCCTCCGGCCTCCTATAAATTGAGGCCTCTCGTTACTTGTCAGATACACCTTCAAACTGAAATCTCCTTTCCTTATCTCAGTAAAAGTATTCTAGAGTATGTAGGTAATTTTGAGTGATAGAGTTCAAACTTATTTCGGTTTGCCGACGGAGTAGTTTTGTGTGCGCCATCTCTACTCTATTGCCACCGTTGTATCCTAGAAGACAGACACCAGAAAACCATGTCACTACGGTGAGGAGGTGAATCTATTTTAAAGACACCGTGTAAAACGGGCCTTGGCTTCAACGTTTTCGATCCTGAATTTTAGTTGTTATTTCCAGTTTATTTTCGGTTAATATCATTGTTGTAATCTTTTATATTTCTCTAATTCCAATTTGCTATTTCCGTTCGTTATTATTTTGCATATTATTTCTAACATCTATAAGATATAAGGCTATACATATAGATAGATAATAGATATCTTTTTGAACAGAAAAAAAAAAAAAGAAAAAACTTTTAGCACTGTCTTTATGAAAGTTACATTATAGAATATGAAAGCACGAATTGATGAAACATTACGGTCTCATTTGGTTTTTATACTTAAACTTATGATTTTGATTATGTTACAATGTTTTTCATCTTATAAAGAATTTAAATTCAAAATTTATTCTTTAACAAAGTTCCCACCAATGAAATAAAATCACTGATTTAAACGCATGAAACAAACAGACCATACACTTAAGAAGTAGTGACTAAATTAAGGTCCGTTTAGTTCGCTGATTCGAGTTGAGATGTGACTTTATGTGAAAGTTTTTTACTGTAGCAAAAAAAAAAAAAAGTGACTGTTTTTTAGAGCTTTTTAGTGTAACAAAACTCAAAATCTAAACTTAAATCGGTGAAATGAACGGAGTCTAAGTTTTATACTTTTAATATATAGCTGAGAAAGAATCAAGTTGCCAGCTGTAGGATGAAGTTAGACATGCATATCCTGAAACTTTCATGATAAACATTAACAAATAAATTAATAATAATTGTAGAAGTATGCATGGACCAGTACGTAAGGAAAGATTACACTTATTTATGTGTAGAAATTCCATATATATATATATATGTATATATATACATATATATCTGACTTTGCAAAGACGCATCAACATGAAGAATTTGTTTGATAAATGATATAGGGGAGAAAAAAGCACTTTTCTGTAGAAGCTTATTGTGACAACAGTATGTCAACAATACCAAAAATATTTAACATTTGTTTTGCAATTCCTGTCTTCACTAACACTCTAAATGCGCTTTTTATTTTTCTTTTTCCCCTTCTTTCTCAGAAGTTCATCCTTTTCTAAGAGGCCGACCAAAGTGATTCTAATTCCATTCTCCACTCTCTCATGCTAATTCAGATGCCATATGCACTCAACTCCTTATCTATGGTCAAACTTTCTTTATGCATATGTTTAAAGTCTAAGGGCATTGGAATGATATTTTCTAGAGAAATTATTGTGTACCATTCAAATAAATTTGCTCAAAAGGGACATTTCATAACTTGACTATGTAATTAGATTTCTTGGTATATATTTTCATGTTTTTCTTCTCTCTATTTCCTTGTGCCATAATATTCTAGTAGTATTTTCTTCTACCAAATATCATTAATTTGTCAACTAAAACTAATATTCATTTGTGAATTAATAGCATGATTTTTTTTAACTTCTTGGCGTGTTTGAATTCTGCCTTTTGGATTATATTTTCTTTTATCATTCAAAAAGGAGATTAAAAGGCCTCATACCATTGGGAGATAGTGTCATTCTTTATAAACTATTACCTATATCCAGTTTTAGGCGATGTGGGAATACGCAATGTTTTTTTTTTTTTTTTTTTTTGAACCTCTTGTCTCAAAGGATTGATGACTATCACATCAACAATGGATGTAAACTTAGCATAGCAAACTTACTATTAAGATAAGCATAGAGAATATATAGAACTCTATACAAATCCACTTCCAATCATCTATAAATAAATCAAGTTCTGATGCTAAAGAGAAACGAATCTATACTAAGTGAATTAGGGAATTTAGTAGCACAATCCGTTTCTCACCAAAATGTTTAATTTCCAGTTCATGATTCTCTCATTGACAAGCCTTACAGCCCGTAAATGTATCCATCATTGGCTTTCCGCAAAGTAATTAAGAATATTTCATGATATAATGCAACATAAAGCTCATTCTTCTTTCTCTAAAAGAATTATTTTCTTCTTTCCAAGATCAAGTTGATAGGGAACTTTGAATTCTTGAGCATTATTGCTATTATTGTTATTATTATTTTATCTATCATGAAGGGGATTTTGGTACGTATATATAGTCGGATACGGTATAACAGAATCTAACACATATTATCCTCTTTTAAAATGTCAAGAGGTTTTGTTTATAGGTATTACATGTACATGACAAAACGATTCTTTCCCTTCACAAAATAATAATAATAATAATAATAATAATAATAATAATAATAATGACAATAATAATAATCATAATAATAATTATAATTATAATTATAATAATAAGAATAACAACAACAACATCAGCAGAACAACAACAACAACAGTTCAATTGATTCTTTCTACGCATAAAATAATAAATCAACACGTTTCAGTGGACGATTAACCCATGGCAAAGTTGCTATTCTTTCCAACTATATTAGTGCTCATTCAAAAATTGCATCACGTATGTTTGATAGAGAATGTATACACAAACACACACCCACATAGACATGAATGCATACAAACATAAACACACACACACACACACACACACATATATATATATATATATATATTAATATAACTTGGTCTTGCTCGTGCAACAATGCATATATATATATATATATGTGGAGTTTCTCCGGTGTTTTCTCAAAAATACTGGTGTTTCTTATTTTTTCAGCCGTTAGATCTTATCAAAATCACATAGATTAAAAAATATGCGGAACATACAGATCCTGATATAGATCTAACAGCTGAAAAGTATAGAACACCGGTGTTCTAAAAATATATATATTAATATAACTTGGTCTTGCTCGTGCAACAATGCATATATATATATATATATATGTGGAGTTTCTCCGGTGTTTTCTCAAAAATACTGGTGTTTCTTATTTTTTCAGCCGTTAGATCTTATCAAAATCACATAGATTAAAAAATATGCGGAACATACAGATCCTGATATAGATCTAACAGCTGAAAAGTATAGAACACCGGTGTTCTAAAAAAGAAGAGAATACTATATAGATGCGTAATAATTACGTTTTCATAGTAAATAGCCACTAAATATAGTAATTTAATGACGTTGCACGATATAACAAACCAAAATATTACCATGGATGCTGTACTTATGTATCCTTTTAACAAACAGGTAATGTAAAGGAAGAATAAGGATCTTATCACTAGCCACAAAGGGGTATCTTATCAGTAAATGGAGCATAGCATCTCACAATTAAAGGGTTATATAACGTACGGAAGTGACCCAATAAATATTTGTGCCATAATTTCCTGCCATGGCACACATAGAAGCTAGGTTAATTCTGAGTCGACATTTGCTTTACCAAATACTAATACTATTTTTCATCTAAAATTAACAATTTAACTGCATAACTAAATACTGAAATTACTTCTAACAAAAAAATATTTAAGCTTTAAAATAGTATTTGAGAGACAATTAAATATGAGACATGAAAATAAGACAATAGTTTTGAACTCGTTTGAAACATCATTTATCAATAAAAACACCAGAGATTGTTTTATCTTTCCTTTCGAATTATCGTTTGTCTTTGAACCCTTTTTTTTTTAAAGAGAAAGAAAGAATGCATGAGAATAATTATAATAGCATGGCAAAAGTTGGAGCTTGGAGGGAAGTTTCTGTCAGAAAGAAAGAAAACAGTGGTCCTTAACTGGGCTTTTCACAAATAAAGTACGAGAGTAGCCTTGTAAAAGTATTAGATAAGCTGTTTTCGGGTCACTTTTGGCCCATTTCAAACGGAAACTTCAAATTTCTAATTACCCACAAAAAGCATCAATAGTAATTATCAATAGTAAATATATATATTAATTTACTTTTATAACATCATTCATAAACGTATATAATATTTGGTTTGTTTAAGTATACTACTCAATATTATATATGTTAAACTACATTTTTTAAATATCACACTTGAACAAACTGAGTGTTATATACAAAAAACATTATATTTATAACCAAACTCGTCCGAGTGTCCGACTTAAAAGGCATTTTCAAAATAAGTTAGTAATGTTATTTTCT